AACTTATCTTCTAATTCCAAAAAGTGAAAAATTCTTCACTGTCTCTCTCTAATGAGAAGAGAAAGCCTAAGCTTAGGAACATGACTTAAAGTCCTTCATTATGTGGCCCCAGATCCAGCCTCTTCTCCTAGTGCTCTTCCCTCAAATAAACATTACAGTCAATTTATACTGAAAAACGTGGAGCTCCCCACAACTCCATGCTTTCTGACACCTGTATGCCTCTTCAGTTCCTCTTCTCAGCCTCACCTCCTGGGCTCCAGTGACCTTTCCCCCTCAGACTCCAAAGCAGCTAGGACTATAGGTGCACACCACCATGCCAGGCTAATTTTTGCATTTTTTGTAGAGATGGGGTTTCACCATGTTACCCAGTCTGGTCTCAAACTCCTGGACTCAAGAGACACAACAGCCTTAGCTTCCGAAAGTGCCATAGATCCCATCTTCTATGAAAATTTGTGCAAATTGAGGGAGACCTATATGTTCCTTTTAATTTTAAAAACATCTCTATATAAAACTTACTATTGCATGGAAGTTCTCATCTTTTACACACTTGTTATTTACAACTATACACAACATAAAATTCAGCAGATTTAATCACTCCCATCTCTGTGTTCTTGTAGATTTAACATAGATTAATTTATTAACATAAACACTTTTGTATTGCTTATTTATTTATTCTTGTTTTTTCTGACTATTGTGAATGTCCATATGCCTTAATTATCTCTGTATATTTAAGTACCTTCCTAATGCTTTACCTGGACACTAGTTCAATATGTCTGTTAAATATAATGCACATTCTACCATTAAACCTGTACAATTATTTCTCTAGGATAGGACTTATGTAAGTATAATCCAGCATTTCAGTATGAATATTATGATGGTTTGTGCCTTTCTCCTAATGGAAATATTTAAGTTAATTTAGAGCCTTAATGATGTTCTCACTCTAACTTTTCACACCATTATTTGATGTTTACACATTATATTAAAGTCCACACGATTGAATGTTATCTGCTTATAATATTTTCTTTTAAATTCATTTTTAACTTACAAAGTTTAATACTTTTTTAGTTGATTCCAGTTCCTTACAGCATATCTAGAAAGCAGATCTATATTTTTAAAATTTAGTTAATGTAAGAGAAACTCAGGTAAGGGAGTCACAGTAAATCTGTGGCACAACTGCGTGATAGTGGTACCCTCCCAGCTTTCACCTTCACAGCCAGCACATGGGCTCCCCAGGGGCCAAGACAGAGTGCACGGATGGGCAGGAGGCACACTGCTTTCATAAGGAGATAGAATAGGATCTTGTTTGTAAAAGATACCAGGATGCAGCCTCCTCTTCACCAAAACAAAACAAAATAAAATAAAATAAAATATCCTTTTACATTTGATGACAGCTCACATGTCAGAGACTGTCCTGTGTTAAAAAGGAGTTATTAAATTTTAACCATGATCTATCATTTAATCCTCATTGAAGATGACTCTAACTTGCTTTCTTGAATGAATACAGGCGATATAATGACTTCTTTGAGTTTTTCCCAGGAATCCTTTAATTATGTTCACTATCTTAACTTCAACGACGATATGTTAGAGAAATATGTGAGGAAAATAATAAGCTGCCCAAATTTGTGTGTGTGTGCGTGTGTGTGTGTGTGTGTTTGAGACAGAGTCTTGCCCTGTCACCCAGGTTGGAGTGCAGTGGCGCAATCTCAGCTCACTGCAACCTACGCCTCCTGGGTTCAAGCGATTCTCCTGCCTCAGCCTCCTGAGTAGCTGGGATTACGGGTACCCACCACCACACCCAATTAATTTTTTGTATCTTTAGTAGAACCGGGGTTTCACCATGTTGACCAGGCTGGTCTCGAACTCCTAACCTCATGATCCACCCGCCTCGGCCTCCCAAAGTGCTGGGATTACAGGAGTGAGCCACTGCACCAGGCCCCAACAATAATATATGTGTAAAGAATAAATGAGTAATTACCATTCAATAGTACATTTTATATATTTACATATGTTTAAATTTAGAAGCAGCATGCAGGTTTCCCTCAATTTATATAATACGTATGTTCCAGCGAAGTTGATAATAAAGTTGATAAAAATCTGAGCTAACTAAAATTATAAATTCAGATATTTTTTTCTAGAGGAGAATGGCCTAAGTTTAAAGTCTGAAAATAAATGTCTCAACACAGTGGTCAAATCTGAGAGTTGAATTTTGTATAGGTAGAAGGGATTTCTTAGTCTTTCAAAGCAATTCAATTCCATTCAACGAATAACAAGTTTCTGGTAGATACTGTGGGGAATTAAAAAAAAAAAAAAAGTAAGAGACAGCCTTTTATAAAACTCAAGCAAAATATGTTGAGTTGTAAAAGTATGTGAGTACAGAGAGGGTGACAATTAATAGAGGGCATCAGAAAAGAGGTCATGAAACAACTAATGTTTTTATGCATCCCAGAGGGTTGTTAGAGGTTGTTAGAGGAAGGGACAATCGAGACAGTGGTTCTGAAAGTTCAGGAAGTTCAGGATGCATAAAACTCACATGGCTGGTAGAAGGGTAGGTGGCAGCTGCTGCACTGTATTCTGTATCAATTAGTTATTGCTACAATAATGATGTTTAACAAAACTCTGAAAAAAAAATGCAGTGGTTTAAAACAACAACCCATTATTGTTTCTCATGATTATGCAGGTTAGCTGATCAGTTCTGCTGATCTGAGCCAGGTTCAGTTGATCTCAGTTGAGATCACTCATGTATCTTGAATCATCCATGGGTCAGCTATGGGCTGGCTGGTCTAGGGTGGTCTCAGCTGGTACACTAGGCTTTGCTCCACGTGGTCTCTAATCCTCCATTAGGCTATGCTGGGCTTTTTTTCATGCCAAAGGTAGAATATTTCCGACCGGACTCAGAACTGGCACAGAGTCATCACTTCTGTTGTGTTCTCTTGGCTACAGCAAGTCCAGAGCTAGCCATTCAGGGAGTAAGGAAATAGAGTTTATCTCTTTATGGAACAAGCTGCAAATTCACATTGCAAAAGGTATGAATACAGAAAGGAGAAGAATAGACATCATTTTTGCAAGTAGTCGACAATGGGGCTTCTTTGTTTTGATTGGAATACTGAGTAGGTGGAATGAAGCTGTCTGGCAATGAAGGTTGCGATTAACCTGACTCGTTTATTTTAAATTCAGGGAGTAGCGAGGAAACACTGAAGTGTTTTGAGCTGGGAAAAACCATGTTCAGAAGTCTGGCTTTAGAAGGAATAAGCTTTTATGGTTATGAGGTGAATAACAGCACAGAGAGGCAGGATGAAAGAGTGTCTTTTCCAATCATCTAGGTGAAAGAAAATTAAGGAAGGTTTGAATCAATGTGATGGAAATAGGAGAAGAATCAAGGCCACAGGCAAGAAATTTCTTGCAAGGACTGATAAGACTGCTGATGGCATGTTAGGTGAGAGGGACAAGTAGCATCTCCTTTATGCTCCTTCCTTTTCCTCCTGTATACCAAACTCAAATTTTTAACACACATCCTCTTATTCTACATTCAGAGTTCCCAGAATATATTGTCCATTGTCACATGATAATGTGGCATTTAATAATTGGCAGTACACGACAATCATATTGTAGGGACATGGGCCTGAGACCCAGTGCTTTGATCTACCATTCTAATGAGGCTAAGCTTTCTTAATTCTTCCAAGACTGAAAGTTTTTCTAAGATTGAGGTTTTAGTTCATTTGGTAGATTTTTGTCAATGATTCTATAACTTCAAAAATCTCTAATTTAAATTTCACAAAATATGTATTAAAAATAAAATGAAGTTGCACAAATATTACTTTCAATTTTATTTAAATCAAATAATGTTGTGTTGATATGAAAAACTTTGCAAGAAACCACATGAATTTTAAAGACAAAATTTGAATACCTAATTACCCTATTCTGAAATAATTAAATGCAAAGAATACATATGTTAACTTGCCATAAACATGTAGGTATTACATAATACACATAACGGAGTCATAAAACATTTTACACTGCTTTATTATAAATAATTGGAAACAATATTTCATTTTTCAAACCCAGACAACAAAATAGTAAATATCATGCTGTCTTTTTTTTTATTACTTTATTTTATTTTTGTAATATGAGTTTGGAAATAGTATTCTTTATCCAAAAACTGGTTTAAAAAAGTGTCTGTAGGAACACAAAAGGACAAAATACTCATTTTCTTTCCCTTAATTGAAAACAGTCAAGAAGGTTTTTAGAGGGAGAGGCTTGCCTGCTATGGAGGAGCCACCAAGAATAGAAAAATGGTATAATACCTACAAATATCACTTGTAAGGCAAAAAGGGGTAGAATACAGACACATAAATATAAAAAGGACTTGATTGTAGACTTTAAAACATATTTTTCTTGACAATGTGAATAGCTTTATTTTTGCAAATAGAGGAAACCATTAAGGCATAGTGGGTCAAGTCACCAAGTTTGAAGCTGGCATTGCTATCTTGCCAACAGCTGTCTCTTTTGTAAGAGAGGAGACCCAATAGCTTGATTTCAATTTTCTCATCCCATAGTGACTCATGTTTTAATAAAAACTGTTTACTGTTATAACCTTGGACACCTAGAGGCAGTGAAGACTTCTCGAAAAAATACTGTAGTAACTTCAAGCACCCCAAAAATTCACTTAAAATAGATTATCCCATAGGAATATTCCCATTAAGTTATCTATAGCAACTAGCAGTCAGAATTTCTCTTAGGTGACTATGATTAATTTTCTTTTTGTATATATTTCCTTTACATATAATAGTTTTGCCAATTTTTCCCCCCGAAAATAATTTTTAAAAATTTAAAATTGCCTAAGGGAATGGACTGAAGGAGACAAATATGAAGAGTGATGTATTTCATTAAGGGATATAGTAGATTTCTTTGAGCACTTGTGTTTATTTGCATCAATTAAGGACAATGTTGCATATTCCAGATTAATTAGCTATTAGGTTTATTGCAGATATAAACATGCTATGTACAAAGATATTTATAATTATTTTATTTTTCATAGACTTCAAAGTGTTTCTTTTATAGGCACTGGAACAGTGTGAATCTGGTAAGTATGTTTCCGTTAATTAGCAAAATTTAAATTAGCAAGACATAACAGGGTGAGTATTGAAGTTCTAAAAACATTTTTAAAATAATGAAGTTACATGTATGTATACACATGCTAGTAGATACTGTAAAATGAACCGCTCCAGAGTACTTGGTTTTACTTCAACTTAATATACTCCAAAATATTGCTTTCCTATATAATATCAAAGGAAATATTAAATGCATGTATATTATTTTAAGAACTTGATGATATATTTTACATTCTTTTAACTTTACTCAGGCTATAAATATATTTATATATCATTCAATCAGTTTTTAGAGTAAATGGAAACCATAGTATGAGGTGGTAAGTTTTCACCACATACATCCTTACTTGATTATGTCCATTTTTTTTTTCTGAAAACTGTATCAAAAATCAGAGTATGTTTGTTTCTACTACACAGTTATTATCCATGTACTACAATTCATTATGGCTTACAAAAATGGAATTTTCATTTGAAGATGGGTAAGAAGAAATCAACTAGTAAGTATGACACTGGAATTAGGCTTCTAAAATCCATTAACATTTAACCAACTCAGAGGACAATGCTGTTCTACATTTTTATCAAAATTGTGCAACAGTATAATTTGTTAGTAGGTTTGCATAGATATAACACCTTTTCACTGGTGTAATACATCTTTTCCAAAGGATTATGGCAGGCTTGTTTCTATTCTTCCTGTATATTCTCTTTTTCACTCTTTTTTTTTTTTTTTTTTCCTGTTTTACATGAAATTAACCATATTTATCATCTGGCTACCGTAGTTCCAAAATAAGGTCCAGTAGTAGTTTGAAGCACAGCAAAGCTGAGCAGGTTCTTCCCTTTTTAAAGCTCGACAGTCAATGGAGTTTTCTATAGTGGAGCCACGTGAGCACTGTTTCCCCAAGTAGAGACTCCTGTGAACTCAAAAGGCTCCAGATTCACAGTCAAGGACTTTGGTGACTTCACATAACTACCACTTATTGCTGGAAGGGAGACAATTTTGTTTGCTTCTGAAGTTTTCAAGCACTTTCTCACCTGGCAGCTTCTCCAGATTTCTTTGTTGTTTTTATAATCACTTCTGACATTGTGCTTTCAAAAATCTAAAGGTCGAATCATCATAGTTGTGGAACGTAAGGAGTAACTGGGCCCTTTGAAGTAGTGCCACTTTATCCCATTCAGTTTTCCATGGTTTTGTCCCGCAGTATAGAACATTCCGTTTAAATTGGAGGGGCCACAAGCATCAAACCACCAGCCTGAAAAAATAGTTCATGATAGAAGAGAGGAGAGGCAGCAATTATAAGTAAATGGAATATTTGGAAATTAATGGCATTAAATGATGGGAAGCTTGCTTGTTTTTGTTATGCTTATTTGCAATTAGGAGGCATCAGTAAATACATTCCCAGTAGTGAAACTGTTTTAAATGACTTCTGATTTAAGATTTGTGTGACCCATCAGAGACAGCAATGCTGTCATGGAAAGCAGCTTTCAGTGTGACTCCACTGGGACTCACTTCCTCTTGTAATGATGGGAAGCCTCTGGGCTTCAAGATACAATCTACATAAGAGATGGATTTACATGTAAGACAAGTGCAATAAGGAAAATGTATATACCCATAAGAGGCATTCCATCTTAAGACTGTCATTGGGAATAGAACAATTAATTATTAGTAAAGAAATTCAGAAACTTAGACAAGCAACTGAGATCTAAATAGAAAGATATTCTCCATCTACTGCATATGTTTGTCAATAATTGGCCCTAAGCTGCTTCTAAAATTAATTGGATACTGTGCGATGACTATGATGCTCAAAAGGACTTTTAATTACTGTGCCCTCTCTGTAGTTTATAACAATAGAAAAAGTGTTCTGCAATAATAGCCATTCAGTTCCTGTACAGCCATATTTTGTCTATGGTTATTTAAGTGCCTTCCAAACTTAGTAAAAGAAAAACAATTTGATGAGGAACATGGAAATTCTGTGCTTATATAGCTCTCTATAAGGATAACTGGATAACTCAGTTTTATTTTTTAAATAAATTAAGTTCTTAGATTTTTAGATAAAGCATAGTGTTTTTTCCTGTCTCCTGAAGTAACACTACTGAATCTTTAGGGAGAGATTTATGCCAGAGACATTCTGGCATACTTTTTATTTGGATACAGTTGACCTCTCTTAGATTACAGACTTATACCTAAGGGACTAATAGCTAAAGAAAGAGAAAGCTGTACAGCTGATGTTTAACTGTAACATGAGCACCATCTTGCAGAAACTTTAGAAAAAGTTAAGTGGAGAAAAGCTAGTTCTCATTTTTCAACTTTAGAAGATGAATATAGCTGGCTTGTGTTTATAAAGTCACACTAGAGGCGTAACAAGCTGCATTAATCACCAGTTCATACTGCGGAACCACAAGGTATGTCTTGATGAATTTGGAAAGACACTATATTCCGTGCAGTTTTATCAACTGTATGCAAACAACATAAATGTTAATGTAGTCAAAACACGAGGGACAAAAAGGTTCTTGTTTGGCAAAGAAGGAGGAACTGCAAGTAACATTCTACCTTTGTTTTTCTTAAGATTAATTCCTCTAATTTTTGATCAGTACAGCTGGTAAAAATGTGCTGTTTATATTATAAAAAGCATTCTAATATTAGTGAATTTATTTGCCCAAAAGACTTTTTCTAAAGGACTAAAATGAAACTCTAAGATGAAATTCAACTTGATTGCTTCTGTGTTTTAACTTTTCTCCTCCTTTTTTGTGACCTTCTTGAGGCACTTTTCCATTGCATTAATGAACTTTTTATAGTCTTTCAAATATGCACCATGGTCTCTCAAGCAAACACACTAACTCTATTGTTGAGACTGACAACGATTCATAGAATTCTCTTCCAAGTTGCATTAGGGTAAAATGTGTGTTTTTGTTTATTTGGTTTATAGAAAGTCACAAGAGTCCCAGAGGAGTACGGAAAGACAGACGTCTGTTGCAACAACAGCCTGGCAATAAAGAGCACAGGCTGAAGGATGCGTTCATTGGGAAACTTTGGGAAAACTTAGGAAAGACACAAGAAACAGTAAGAGCCTGTGAGAGAGTCAGGTAAATTCATCTTGTGTATCTTTTTGAATGAATAAAGTGGGGTAATGTTTGCAATGAGTAAAATGGCATTTCAGAGACATTGAAAGAAGGCCAGTATGGCTGTGTCACAATCAACGAGGGGGATAGTCGCCTGAAGCTGAGAGGGTCTGAAGCACATCACCCAGTGTTTTGTTCATCATCCTAAAAACAATGGAAAGCCATGGTTTGTATATTGGCCTACCTCCTATACTTAGTAGGACATCTAACAAAGTTTGCTTCCCAAATGACCAGTGGTTCACTGCAGGCTTGTTAACTGATTGACTCTCTGATTGGTTCTGCTTGTGAAGTCTTTGTTGTCTGAAGTCGTTTAGCTTACTAAAATGCTATATTTGATAGATACCCCAATATGTAACACCTGTCTTTATTGTATCCATTTTTTTATGTATCCATTCAATATATAATTATTGTGAAACGTTGTTACACAATACTCAAGACAGAAGTAGTCCTTGCCTTCATGAAACTCACTTCTAATGAGAGAAACAGATGAATATATGTAAGCAGGCACAAAAATTACTATTAGGTTGGTGCAAAAGTAATTGCGGTTTTTGCCATGACTGTTCTTGACAAAAAATGCAATTACTTTTGCACCAACCTAATATAAATTATGACTTAAAATGTCATGAAGAAAATAAGTAGGGGCTCTGAAGGAGAATAACTCGAGTTTTCACACTCGTGAAAGAAGCTGATATTTAACGAGACCTGAAAGAGGAGAGAGGTAGCCCCAGGAAGATGGGAAAAGACCCTGATAAGCAGAGTACAGCACCTGCAAAGGCGATGAGGAAGAAAGCAAGCTTGGGATGTGTAGGGACATGAGTGCAGCTGGTGCACAACGAACAAGAAATGACTTGCAGGAAATGAAGGTGGAGGAATAGGCAGTCCTGGAGAGAAGTTCAATGTTTATGGAACAATTCGTAGTTTAGCCAGCCTGCTTGTCCATGATGAGGCAAACAAGTAAAACATTCTCTACAGATGGGAACCACAATCGAACCAGAAGAACCAGATCTGCTAGGTTAAATGTTTCCTCAAACACTGTTTAGAGCCCTCATTCTCTATGATCTTCCAAAGCTATCCTGAGCATATGTGACAGCATAAAAAAAGAAGAAAATTGAGTCTAGAATCAATTCTGCAAATATTAACCAATGGATAGAGATAGGGGACAGGAATTTTTGGAAACAAAATTTCTGACTTTAAAGCATGCACAGTTTTGTATAGGAGACAAACAAAATGCTACACATTGAGATGATAGCCACTAAACAAAGAGAAGAAGAAAATGTTATGGAAATACAGAGGCAGTAGGTGCTAACTGTCTGAGGGACCACAAAGCTCACTCATCCAACAGCTGCTCTGGGTCCTGAAGGATGGGTAGAGTTCACTGAACACAAAGAGATTCTACACAGTCTGTACTCTGGAAGAGCAGGAGAGAGTGTCTGCCAGCAGGTTGGCTTGGCTGGAGTGCCAGTGGGTTAAAGGGTTGGAGAACATAGGGCTAAAAAATAAACAGGAGGGAGAACATAAAGGTTTTTATTACACCTTTAGACATTTTCTTTCGGGCAATGGGAAGCCTGCAGAACGCCGAGGCAGAAGTTAGAAGACCCAGACTTTTCATGCTTACTTCATCAATTAATAACCAAGAGATCCTCCACAATAGTACCAATAGTATTTGATATTTATCGAATCGTTCATATGAAGGTATTTGTATGCATTTTCTCATTTTATCCCCCAAACAGCCTTAAGTGATGTGGCAAATACCATATTAAAGATACTAATGCTCACAGGGTTTAAGGAACTGTTTAAGGTCACATTCATAATACATAGATTCTAAGAACTGACCAACTATTTTCACAGCACAGTTATAAGGATCAAAGAAGATAATGCACTATTATAGCCTATAAAAATCCTACTTAAGTGCCAGCTGTAAGTTATCTAGAAAATGGGGCAGAATGTTTAGGGCAGGGAAAAAAGAGACAAGACCTTGTGGAGCATCATAATAATTTAATAATAAAGACAAGGTCATCAGTGCCAACATATTTTCTTATTTGCTTAGTGGGGTTTACTAGAGAAATATGAAAATAATTAGACCCAAATAAGTACAGTTGTACAACGTTCATGTTATAAAATCTTGGCATTTAAGCTCCTAATTTTTTTTAAATGTTTCATTTTGATTTCATGACAAATCAAGGAGTTTGAAATATTCAATTAACTCTTTATCTTAAGACCAGTGGCCCATGAATTCTGTCATCTATCTCAGAGCAATTGATAATAAACATGATGAATTAAGATGGAAGAAAATGAAATAAAAGAGCAATTATTTCTCATGACCATTTCAGTTTTATTATAAGATATCCTAACTTCAAGGTAGCAGAAGTAATTATTTCAGTGTAGGCAAGGATTCTCTGTTTTCTCTGATACATACATTAAAACAAATTAAATAATTTTTTCATATCAAATATTTAAAACAGTTTGTCCACTTTCTATCTTTATTTTTTAAAATCAAGCATGGCCAAGTCTTTTATACACAAATCCTGAAAATACGTGGTTTAAAGCATTTTATCAAAGCAGGCAAAAGTATAGCAGAGTCTTCATTACTCATACGCATTTCTTGTATTTATAAGTGATCATAGATACTCAGTACATATGATACATTTGCATGGGATGAAGATGTTCTATGAATATACAGAAGAGTATGCCTGAGTTTGCAGTTCCTCTCTGATAAGATACTGAATAGCTGAATTACATATTCTGTGCAATCCTGGGAAAATATTAACTTTGTATTTTGTTTATGCTTGGGAATAACAAATAAGAAATATCCTAAAGCAATTCATCTAGGGAAGGCACTTCAAGTCTAAAAGAACTCAATGATGCAAGGAAAGGATCGAAAAAGCAGTTGCCATCTGCTATTGGGACAACTGATAAAATGTCTCAAATGTTTTTTGTTTTGGTTTGGTTTGGTTTGGTTTGTTTTTTTTTTGAGATGGAGGCTCACTCTGTCGCCCAGGCTGGAGTGCAATGGCGGACCTTGGCTCACCGCAACTGCCGCCTCCCGGGTTCAAGTGATTCTCCTGGCTCAGCCTCCTGAGTAGCTAGGACTACAGGTGTCTGCCACCACGCCTGGCTAATTTTTGTATTTTTT